AGGTTGGAAAATCTCATTCCCCCAGCACTGACAAGGCCACCACTAAGTCAAGTCCTCAAGTGCCACATCCACAAGGCTGTTAAATCCCTCCAGGAATGATTATTCCACAACTTGCCAGCTCATCCTGTGCCAGGGATGGACAACCTTTTGTTCAAGAGTTCCTCAAGGGAAATAGAAGTTGGTTGGGAGTTAACCTAGGATCAAAGGAGGGGAAAAAAAGACCCAGAGACACAAAGATCTGATGGCCATGAGGAAAGAAAAATGCTGGTTGAACCAGAAAAACCAGCTGAGATCAGAAGGCATGAACAGTTCTGAACTTCACCTTTCCATGATAAAAGATTAAGGAAAACAAGGATCCCAGGCTGCTGCTCTCCATCGTTGGGTAATTAAGAGAAAACCCCACAGGCATTTAATATTTTCTGTTGTAACACAGCTCATGTGGCTTTTTCTAAAGAAATGTGTTAAACTGAATGCATCAGACACACAAAATACGCTTCTGGTGGGAAACTATTGAACTTCCACCAGAAAAGGAATAAATAACCAACCAAACACATAAGAAACCACACGAGAATGAGGTTTCAGCTGCAAAAAAATCCCCACATTTGGATTTTCTACAGCAAAATCAAGCAGCTGCCACAGCAAAAAAAAAACAAAAACCAAGCTCCACCTGGGGGAAGAAAATGATTCTTCCCAAGGAAGCTGCACTTCCTCAGGCTGTGCTGCCCCTGTCCCATATTTTTTACATGGATAAGGCAGAAATTAGAGCTTTGGTGAAAGCTGTTGTTCCAATAAAAAGATAGATTTTAGGAGTAAGTTTAGCTGGGATGAGCAGTCCCAGCAAAGCTCAACCTTCCTAGCATGGCAGGTCCCCATGTCAAGCTTTACCATCACAAGGCTGGTTGTGCCAGTCAGGATTCCAGAGGGATGGGAACAGATTCTCCTCTTATCCATGATTTATTCCAGTACATCTCCCCGTGCCTTTCCAGGGAAGCCTCGTTGTTTAATCTCACTGTGTCTTACTGTTTAACAGCTCCCACGAGGGAACAATTTACCCACAGGCTCCAAGGCAGCCGATGGAAACAATCCGGAGAGAGGGATTTAATGCAGTTCCGGCACTAATGGGCACAGAGCGGGGAAGATTATTTAATACAAAACAATTTTCCAGATGCAGCAATGGAATTGTTGAGTGGTTTGAGTTGGAAGGGATCTTAATGATCTCATTCCAAACCCCTGACATGGGCAGGGACACCTCCCACTATTCCAGGTTGCTCCAAGCCTTGTCTGACATAGCCTTGGACACTTCCAGGGATGGGGCAGCCACAGCTTCTCTGGGCAACCCGTGCCAGGGCCTCATCACCCTCACAGGAAGGAATTTCTTCCCAGTATCCCATCTAAATCTACCCTCCCTCATCTTTTGTGCCAGGAAAGCAACTCCCAAGGCAGGTGCTCCTTGGGATCATCTATGGATGAGCTTCCAGCTCCAGGCTCTCAGCCACACAGAGATCCCAGCCCATGATTTGCCACCAAATTTGGTTTGGGTTGGAAAGGTCCTTAAAGCCCACCCTGTTCTAACCCCATGCCATATGCAGGGACACTTTCCACTATCCCTGGTTGCTCCAAACCCCATCCAACCTGACCTTGAACACTTCCAGGAAGACATCCACAATGTCTTCATCCAATGTCTCCTCCTGCTTGTCCCTTGCTCTTGGGTCACGTCACCACAGACACTTCACCCATGGGTGCTGCCTCATCCCTCACACCCACCAGCCTCATCCTAGCCTCTCCTAGAGAATTCCTCCTCCAAGGAATTCCTCCTCCAAGCCCCTGCACAAGGCCCCATATGGGAGGAGCAATGTGGAACCACAGAGGAGCTCTGACCGTAGAGCAACTCATGAAAACATCTCCAGAAAACCCTGGGAAGAACCTGCAAGAGGCCCCATTTCTCTCTCTTCTCCCACTTCCCTCCTGGGACTTCCTCCAGTGCAGGTGGCCGGCCCAGAGGGACCTCCCAGCACGACCAGGTCAGGGTGCCAGGGAAGGGCAGGGAGCTCCAGGAAAATTGGGACAGAGATCCCCAAGGTGGGAATCACTCCGTGGCTTTAAGGGACACGTATGATGTTGTGTTTAGGGATGATCCATTTAGGAAGCATAAATGGTGGAGGAACTTCCCAGCCCATTACCAAGGAACCTGTAGGAATGCTGGAAATCAAGGTCCTAGCTCTGCCACCAGCTCCCTTCTGGAAACAGAATTCCATAATCATTTAGGTTGGAAAAGCTCTCCGAAATCATCAGGTCCAACTTTTGACCAATTAATTAATATTGGGAATAACATTCCCTTTATGAAGGATGTGATCATGGTCCTGCACAGGAGCTGTCCCATGTCCCCAGGCATGGATTTTCAGATTCCTGAAAAAAGGACATGGGAATGCAAAATTATAACTTTCTCACTTAATTCTAAATTCCTGGTGAAGGCAGAGAGGGTCCGTCCTGGCACCATTTGTATGAAGAGCAACTAGAATTACAGCCCAGGAATGGGACAAAGGTGGATCAACTTGTCCTGAGAATCCTTCAACACATCCTGGGAAGTACTTAAGAGACAACTCTGCCAATGACATGTCATAAATTATGCATAATAATGGATATTTCTGATGGAGGTCTGCTAAAAATCAGGAATTGTGTTTGTCTGGGAGAGCACAACGAGGAAAACACAACTGGGAGAAGAGGCCAGTGTGCCAAATATCAGCATAAAACAACCTAAATTCCTAATTCCGGACCATCCCTGTCGGACTATATCCACCCAGGATTCTCCACCGGAGTCTCACACCTTTGCACCGTGCTTTGTGCTTCAAACCAACATCGCCTGGACAGGGAAAGGCAGAATGAGGGAAGATTTACTCCCATCCTAAATAATTCACAAGAAAAGGGACTGCGCATCTTTAACAAGCCATCGTTTTATGAAGCAAGGTTAACATTTTTCCTTGATTCAGTGGAATATTATAAACTCTCTGGGGTCCATTTGAGGACTTTCTACTTGGAGCAAAGGCACGGACTCAGCACTTTTTATATTATTTAGAGAATAAAATTAACCCTTAATGGCCCAAGCTGGAATTTCTCCTCCCCAGTTAAATATGGCCCGCTCAGCAATTTCTCCCCATATATAATTACAGGCTGCTATCCATCATCTGGAGGAGAATGCTTTCCCGACATTCCGAAAGTGACGCCGTAAGCACTTTTCCTAATAGAATAAATATTCTAAATATCTCTTTTATATTTTCATTTAAATTGGAATATTTTAAAAATAATTGTCGGGACCCTGCCTGCGTGGTTGGCACTGCGCTGGAGGGAGGTGGCAGGATGCCTGTGTTTTCCTTCTGAGGGAATGTTTATCCTGCATCAAGTCCCCCTCCACGCACTGCCACAAAAAGTAATTAGGCCCGGAGTAATTTATTAGAGCTTCACCTCTGCTGATGCTGATGTCCTGTTTTCCTTAAAACTCTCACTTTTGGCTTTTGTCCCTGGTTTTTGCCTGATTTTTGCTCTTTGGTGGTTGCTCCTCAGGAAAGGATGGGGGAAACACCAGACGAGGTTTAGTGGGACTTGACATTGCTGGGTTCAAAGCTGGGCTCAGTGATCTTAGAGGTCTTCTCCAGCTGAAATGACCCTAGGATTCCATCCAACGTTGTGTTTGGATTCTGGGACAGGCTGGTGGCCACACTACTGGGATCTGAGCACTATGGCTTCTCTTGATGGGTTCTACCACTGCAAATGAGCGCTACCAGGATGGAGAAAAGGAAAAGAACACTCTGGGGCACCCACAACTCCTCTGGACAACCTGGGACAGGGTCTCATCACCTTCACAGGGAAGAATTCCTTCCCAATATCCCATCTATCCCTGCCCTCTGGCAGTGGGAAGCCATTCCCCCTTGTCCTGGCACTCCAGATCCTTGCCCAAAGTCCCTCTCCAGCTCTCTTGGAGCCCTTTTAGCCCCTCAGAAATGGTTCTAAGGTCTCCTCAGCACCTTCCCTTTTCCAGGCTGGACATTCCCAGCACTCCCAGCCTGGCTCCAGAGCAGAGGGGCTCCAGCCCTTGGAGCATCTCTGTGGCCTCCTCTGGACTCTGCTGAAGGCAGCTCTGCAGGTGGGGTCTCACCTGAGTGGGGCAGAGGAGCAGAATTCTCCCCTTTCCTGTTGGTCACAATTGTCCAAGGATGAGCAGAAATCCCATACAATAACCTGTAACCCATTTGGAAAATGGCAAAGAAGAGTCAGGACAATCACTTGGATTCCCAAGAGAACACCAACCACAACACAGAAATCCTGTGTGTTCCAAATTCCTTTGGAACAGCAAATGGCAGCTGGCTCCAAGTCCTGCTCCAGGAAAGCTGCTCCCATGATTTCTACGTTACGTCGGATACCAAAAGCTCATGAACGAGGTTGCACCTCTCTCCAGGGTGCACCTGAAGTCCATGTAGGACTTCACTGCACATATCCAAACCATCCCCAGGACCTGGAGGTGGTTCCATGAATCCCTCAGGCACAGCAGATGCTGAGCTGGCTGAGCAAGGCTGGTCCTGCTCCTAAAACTAAGCCACAGGATTTAAGGCTCAAGTTTTAACCCATCACAGAGCCAGTGTGGAAAATAAGCATTAATGCCTATGGATTTTCTAGGTGAAATGGGGAATCCTAAGTATTTTCCTACATTTTTCATCTGTTTCAGCAAGGAGTTTTCAGGGCAGGTGCTTCCAGCTCAGACACTGATAACACAAACACCCCATCGAGGCTCTTACCGGGGAAGCACCAACATGTTGATGGGCCAAAACCTTTCATTTCATTCCCTTTTTTCCCAACCAAACCATTTTGCCAAAACCCTTTGGAAAAGCACAGGACTTTTGTTCATCACATCCAGGTGCTGAGCAGCTTCCAGCTCTTCCCTGTGGTGCCGTAGCTGGTGCAGGACGCTGCTCGTGGCTTTGGCTTCAGCCAAAAAAATTCCTCTTTACCTTTTCTCCCATGGGACAATATCCTTTGAGGAAATCCTGGCACACTTCCGCCTTCCTGGACACGTAGACGTGGCTGTAGGGGCAATTGCTGTTGCTGCAGATCCCTTTCAAGTAGTAGGAACACACTGGCATCTGCAAGAGGAGGAGAAATCCGTCAGCATTCCCTAAACCCGTGACTTGAAATCTCTGCAACCCTCAGACCTGAAATAAAAACGTGACAAGTGTAAAATAAATAGAAATATTTTGCCAGCCACTGATCCCAGAGGTGTTTTTAGCTCTTACATTGGTTTCCTGCAAGGCAGCTCCCTGGTATTACGTATTCCCGGTGTTTGGATATGCAGGGAGTGAAGGCAGTCCCCTCAGCATCCTTCAGGATGCTGGAGAGAAGGTGAAAAGCTGAGAACTGCCACCAGGAAGACAATTCCCTCTGGAAGGGATGGGGAAATGTCATAAATTCTGGGAACACCTTTCACAAGGGATGATGCAGTGATGGAGATGGGAACAGTGGCGCAGGGATCATGCCCAGCCCAGCTACATCATCCCATAGGGAATTCTGGCCATCACAAAGGTCAAAACAGCATCCTGGGATCTTCCCATTTGGCTCTTGGTGGACACAGAGTTGGCAGGAGGGGGGTTTGATAAAGGCTCCAAAAGGTGGTTCCTAGAAAGGGAGAAAAAAGCACCTCCGTGAGGATTCTGTGGGGGCTGCATCATTCCAAGGCATTATCCTGGAATTCCCCAGGGCTGTGATGCCTGTCCCTGTGCACTGGGGACAGGGAGTGAAAGGAGGGAGTGAAAGGAGGAGGAGAGCCCAGGCTCCCGCCATGAGCACTGGGGGAGGAGAGCAGCGGGATACACAGAGCTGATCTCGCGCTCCCGCGCTCCTGAGCTTCTGCAGCGCGACAGCCGACGGGGAAAACCGACGGAGCAAGGATTCTCCTCATCGTCCTCAGAGCACAAACTTCACCTTCTGCCAGCTGTTATCATTAAAAACAAATTACCAGCCTGCTGCCATATTTCAGCATCCTTAACTCACCGGCTACCGCCGGCAGCTTCCCGCTTCCCGCCCCGATCAGGCAGCTGCCACCGGGAACGTGTGCTTCCTGAAGGTCCGGCTCCTCCTGCTCCTACATCCCGAATTTCCTCACTGCTCGTGGAGGTATTGATCCCCGCCCCATTCACCAGTAGCATCCTTGTCCCACCAGCTCAAGTGTCCCCAAGTAAAATTTACAGTCCTGCAGTAACCACCGGCCGGCCGGGGCTATCCGGCAAAATCCCTTATCCCTGAAGGGCACATTAAGGGTTGAACTAAATTGCCTCACTTGAGACCGAGAGGAAAGAAAACAAAGGGTGCTTTAAAAGAGGAGAGTTTATTTTTAATTGTCTTTTAACTGCAGACATTAACATAAAGGACAGGGCTCTGGGGCGATCTTTGGCAGTGCTGGTGGTGTGACCGTAAACGATTCCCTTAATGTAGTTTTTGATATAGAGCCCAAATTAGCTCTAATAAAAAGGGATAATAAAGGCAGCTCTCCGACAAAAATAAACTCCTCCTCGCTGTCAAGCCCGAGCCATTATCAAGAGGAAGCAGCGCTCTCATTTCAATTAACCTTGTTTGCACCCCAGCACGTCCACACAAATAACAATAACATTAATTCAAGGCACTGGGGCGCTGCGGCCGCCTTCGACAGCTTTGACTCTCTACAAGCTCTGGAGGCAGCAGCTAAATGAACCCGAAACTCCACGTGAGCCTCCAAATTGCTCACAACTGAGTTTTGAAGCTCTATTAGGGAGAAAAATGCTGATTCTTTCCGAGTTCCTCAAGGGGAAAAGCTGTTGGAACAGCAGTGGGCGGCTTCTCGAGTCCCGGCCTCTCGCAACCTTCACTTCCTTCAGATTTCCTGGTTTCTCTCCATTGCTGGGATGTGTCAGTGACTCTGATCCACTGTGGAAAAATTCCCTGTGTGTCACTTCAGTGGGTGCTTCTCACCAAAAGCTCTGCCTGAGTCTCCTGTGGAGCAAAATTCTTTAAACTGTGAGGGCCTGGCACAGGTTGCCCAGAGAAGCTGTGGCTGCCCCATCCCTGGAAGTGCCCAAGGCCAGCTTGGATGGGGCTTGGACCAACCTGGGATAGTGAAAGGTGTCCCTGCCCATGGCAGAACAAGAAGAGCTTTCCCTCTTTCCCAGCCTCCTTTTTCCATCTCCAGAGGGTGATGGAAACCACTGGAGTTCGGATCTGCAAAGCTCTGTGACAATCTGGAGCCATCCTCCATCCTGCTTGGAGCAAGGGGTTTGCTGCTCTAGGATGGGGAAAAGCTCCCTGCTGCTGTGACAGCTGAATCCATGCAGCTTTCCATAGAAAACAGTGATTTTTTTTCCCATAGAAAATAGTGATTATTCCCATTTTTCAGTGGGGAAACTGAGGCAGGAGAGTGCACGAAGGCTGAGACATTGTTTCGTCCTGAAACCAAGAGCCAAGCCCTGCGAGCCTTTGATCCTTCACCTCCTGGACTGGATATCCCATCCCAGTAAAACCCCACTGACGTGAGACACACAGCAACCTGAATTTTCTCGGATGAGGAGGCTTTGGGGTGTCCCTCTCCAATGACCACAAACTGAAATCGGGAATCCCCAAACCACCACATCACCCCACACAGAAAAAAACCAAACATGAATCGCATTAAAACCTCAATTCAAACAGCCAAAAACCAACCATGCACAACCCTTCACCTGAGGAAAAGGTGGGATTTACTCCAAAAACTCCACCAGCTTCCTTCCTCTGCTGAGTGCCTTCACCTGCTTTTCCCAGCACTGATAAATGAGGGAAAAGCCACCTTTGCCAAGAATCACCCGAGTTAACGGGGAGCTCCGGGACCTGGAAAGAGAAGTTGCCTCTCCTATTGGGAAGCAGTATTCCCATGGCAATAAATCACCCTGGAACAAGTCTGAACTCCATGGAAGAGGTTGTTTCTCTTCCAGCCCTCGCTGATGACAAGGTGGCAAACAGGGAGACCTTTGAACCACCCTCAGGGTGGTTAATCCTGTGAAAAATAACTCCCCTTCCCAACGGAGCATGGCAGGAAAAATGTGCTCCAAAAGCTTTTAGAGCTGGCACTGCCTGCTTTGATTTTGGTTTGTTAATTAATGATTTATCTTGAGTTTAGGTGATGCTTCGTTAGCTCAGGATAACGGTGAGACGGGCTGAGGTCACTGCATCCCATGGGATCCCATCCCAGGGATTCTATCCCCAAAATGCTACTGGCAAACAGTTCCTCGACATGGTCACTCCTTTTTAATTCAGTTTTATTACCACAATACCACTGTTATTCTTCTCAAACAGGTGAGGTGCTGCTAAAAGTTGAGTTTTCCATCATTCTCCGTTTATTCGCCCAAAACAGAGCCCAGAAGCCAAATCTGGAGGTCCTCCTTGAGGGATCAAGTGTTCCTGGAGGGGAAACTGAGGCTACATCTCCACCAGGAATTCAAACATGACAAGGAATATTCCTGGGTAGAGAGACCACAAATTCATCCACATCCAACCATCACATTCTTTGGTGAATAAACCACCAACTGCAACAGCCCCTTGGGCATGTCCAATTCCCAAGTTTCATCTGGGTTTCTTGCCCCAGGACCAAAAAAGACTTCACCACCTTCTGAAATTCCATTTAATTTGGAGTTTATGGTTCTGTGGGTGAATTTCAATCCTTCGCCTCAGAGATACAGGCAGAGGGTTGCACATCGTTTACTTGGATGACAAGAAGTAGCTGGCCTCACTAATTACAATAATTTTGGATAAACAGCCAATCCCACTTCAAAGCTTCCTTCGTTCCTGGCTTCTTCATTTCTGAAGTCTGACGCTGTTACGGAATGAAAAAAACAAAACCCCAAGCCGTCTTTTTTTCCATCTATCAATCCTCATCCCCGTTCCTGCTCTGACACGCCACGAGCCAGGGAATGCAGCTGTCCCCGTCCCTGTTTTATGTACTCGTGATTAAGTGACTCTGAAGAGAAATCCATGTAAAAAACATCTGGTGCTTCATGTCTCATTCAGGACGACTTCCCAGATAACTTACGAGCTCCCCATGGACAAGGAATGTGCCTCAGGCACCTCAGCTTCCATGCTGGAGTCTCCAAAGCTATATCCAAGTGGAGATCCCAGCCACTAAACACAGGCTGAGGTGCTAAATCATCACTGATAAACCCAAAATAAAAACCCTAGATTATTTTTCCACCTTGTGTAATAAAACCAAAGAGCCCCATATACATCCAGAAGGTGGAAAGCAATGAACTCCAAAGTTGTTTCGCCAGAGTTTCAAGCTGATTTTGCTGCTTGGCATTTTAGAATTTATTTTTATTAATTTATACCTCAAAATTATGTTTGTTAAAACATCCTCTGACCCCAGCATAGAGGGATTTCCAGGGAAATGTGATCTTATGAATGTAGGGAAGAATTAGACTCAACTAAATGGACTTGATGATCTTGGAGGTTTTTTTTAGACAAGTCTTTTCTAGACCCCAGCCACAGGGTGGTGAGGCCCTGGAATAGGATGCCCAGATGAGCTGTGGATGCCCCATCCCTGGAAAAATTCAAGGCCAGGTTGGCTGGGGCTTGGAGAAGCCTGGGATAGTGGAAGGTGTCCCTGACCATGGCAGAGGGGCTGGAATGAGATGACCCTGAAGATCCCATCCATCCCAAACCATTCCATGGTTCTGTCACGATTCAGGAGCCTGAACAGCTCAGCAGGGAAACCCCAAACTCAGTTGGAAGCATTCAGTGAGGAAGAAACTTCCCACAACCACCCCTTTGCACACAGAGCCACGTTCCCATTGGGAAGCCACACAGACCTTGTCCTTGGACACCTTGTGGGAAAATGGACAGGTCCCATCTGTCTTCTTGCACGTGCCACGGAGAAACCTGGAGATAAAGCAGATGGAGAGGGTTGGACATGAGGTGGGTCACAAAATATATAAAATATATTATATTTATACAAAACCACACAATTTCTGCTGAGCTCATCCATAAACCCATAAACCCATTTCACACCCCTTGTTGGAAGAGCAGCTGATGATTCCCGATAGATTTTATTCTTTCATCACATTTGGCTGCTCATTAGTAGGTAGAGCAAGGCTTGTATCCCAAAATTCAGACATGATGCTCCCAGAAGGAGAAACATCCTTCCTAGGGCCCTGATTACTCCAAGTTGCTGAGAAAAGTTGTGGATTCCCCATCCCTGGAAGTGTCCAAGGTCAGGCTGGAGAAGGTTTGGAGCATCCTGGGATAATGGAAGATGTCCCTGCCCATGGCAGGGGAGAAGACTGGATGAACTTGAAGGTCCTTTCCATTCCAAACCATTCCAGGGTTCTGTAATCCCATTCTATGAGATGATGGATGAAGCGCCAGGTGGGAATGGCCAACGACCATGAGGAGCAAAGACAGGCCCAGAACAGGAACCAAGATCCCAAAGCACACAAGTAGGTCAAGACTTTTCCTAGGATTGACCATTGTGAGAGATTAGCAAAATTAAAAAATTGTAAGGGAAAGCTAAAGAATGGGATTGGAGATAAAGGAACCAGGATAAGGAGACACACAGCTGGGAGAAATCAGTGTTCTCCTCCAATGATGCATGGAAATGAGACAGGATAGAGACCCAAAAGACTTCAAGGAGCACAATTCCTAAAGTAGGCAAGGAATTATGGGATTTGTTATGGCAGAATGAGTGAGGAGGAGTAAAATCAGTTAAAAAAACAATAAATCCCCTTCCTCTCCTCTATCGTCTCCCATCGAGCTTTGAGCAACTTCCAAGTGATTCCAGCACAGCAGCAATTTTATGGAGAAATTAGTCCAGGAGCTCATCAGAGGAGTTGGCTTTTCTGCACTTTTTAAATGACTCATAATAGAGTTTAATCAACTCTTGGGCAGGTCTAATGAGCTGCCAACATGGATCAGTTCTCCTGGAATAAATCACCAAGTCTCAGAGCTGCACAACGTCACACGCTGAGGGATTCAAACCTGTTGGACTGATCCAAATGGATCTGAGGAATGCTCCTGAAGGAGAAACCTGGAGTGTGGTCAGGGCAGGGGCTGAAGTCACCCAGCCCAGAAAAGAAGGCTCCAAAGAGACCTTAGAGCCCCTTACAGTGCCTAAACAGACTTCAAAAGAGACAAAGAGGGACTTGGAACAAGGAATGGAATGACAGGACAAGGAGAATGGCTTCCCACTGCCAGAGGGATAGACAGGATATTAGGAAGATACTTTTCCCTGTGAGGCTGGAATGGAATTTCCAGAGAAGCTGTGGCTGCCCCATCCCTGAAAGTGTCCCAGACCAGGCTGGACAGGGCGTGGAGCAACCTGGGATAGTGGAAGGTGTCCCTGCCCATGGCAGGGGTTTGGAATTCAATGATCTTTGATGTCCCTTCCAACCAAAACAATTCCATGATTCTCTGGCCTCTTCTTGTCCTCTTCCTTCCAACCCAACAGTGCAGAACCTACACCTGACCCAGAACACCCATCCTTGTTGTCCTACACCTCTGTTATCAGTTTGCTTCCCTTAGGAATATCCCACAAGGAAGCACCAAAGCCACCCAACGTCCCAGTTCACCGCAATTACGTGTCCATCCCTACCTGGTGCAGACAGCCACTTTCTCTGGATCATGGATGTAGGGGCAGCTGTCGCCCCGATTGCACTTCCCGAAGCGGTTGTAGTACATACAATATTCCTTCTTTTTCTTCTTCTGCTTGGCTTGACGGATGATGGCCAAGCTCCTCTGCACAGCACGGCTGAAGGAGAAAGAGGGACAAGGTCAGGGAAAACCTCCAGCTCCAACACCACAATGAAATGGAGAAGACACCTCAACAACACCTGAAACCACAGAGGAGCCTACCTTTGGAGAGTAAAATATTTAGCAAGTTCACGCTCATAAGCCCTAAAGTATTTTCGATTTTTGGCTGATTTTACCCCGAATAATTAAAAATCTGCAAGACAGCACCAAAGTCACCAGTGAGATTCCTTCCCACCCCTGTAACTGTGATCCTCTCCTTGGATTTTATGAGCGTGGAGAGGGTTTCCCACACTTTTGGGGAATATGGTGAGGAAGGAAGCATCCTCTCCTTGTGCACCACAGGATGCCAAGGCTGAATGACTTGGAGGGCTCTTCAGCACACATCCCACCAGCTGGGCCTGATGCTATTCATGGCCTTCAAGTGGGCACCTGGTCATGAACCTCAAAGAACGAGGACCTACGTGATGGCCACAGGAACAAAAAGTACCACCAAAGAGCAGAAAAGCTCCTTTTTAATTGCCTGGTCCCACTAAAAGCTACTTAAGGAGCTGAAAAGTTGCTTAGCACATGTTTTCCACAAGCTTCCAGCTGGAGAGGGAATTATCCAGCAGCTCTTGGGATGTGTGGAAAAGAGGAAGTTTTGAGATCTAGATGAACACAAACCAGGGGGGGCACCAAGCAGGTGATTCCGTGGTAGGGCACAGTCAGCTCCACTTTGCTGGGGACACAGTGCATTATCCATGAAAAATACAGGTTCAAGGAACTTAATTTTCAGCGGAAATGCACATTTTTAACTCTGTAATTGCTGGTTGTCTGCAGCTCCTGTATTAAAAGGAGGTGCAAGGCCAAGTGTAAGGTCCTGGATGTGTGGTGGGTAATCCCAAGTACAAATCCAGGCTGGGTGGAGGATGGATTGCGAGCAGCCCTGAGGAGAAGGACTGGGGGGAGTTGATGGATGAGAAGGTCCACATGATCCAACCATGGGAGCCCAGAATACCCTGGGCTCATCCCACAGCGTGGGCAGCAGGAGAGGGGGAATTTCTGCCCATCTGCCCAGCTCAGGTGAGATCCCACCTGCAGAGCTGCCTTCAGTTCTGGAGAAGGAGCTGGCAGAAGGATGTGGAGCTGCTGGAGCAGATCCAGAGGAGGTCACAGAGGTGCTTCCAGAGCTGGAGCCCCTCTGCTCTGGATAAGACTGGGAGAGCTGGGAATGTCCAGCCTGGAGAAGAGAAGGTTTCAGGGAGACCTCAGAGCCCCTTCCAGTGCCTTTCCAGTGCTTAAAGGGGCTCAAAGGGGCTCCAGGAGAGCTGGAGAGGGACTTTAGACACGCGATGGAGTGACAGGAAAAGGGGAAATGGTTTCCCACTGCCATAGGGCAGTGATAGATGGGATATTAGGAAGAAATTCTTCCCTGGGAGGGTAGGCAGGCTCTGGCTTATGACCGCCCCAAAGCAGAAGCTGCAGAAAAGCAGCAGCCAGAGCTTCACCAAATCATCCTCCAGTTCAACAGCTGCTCCTGAAGCTCCTGACTCCCTGTTGAGCATAATTCTGAAGATGGAGCATGTCACTCCTGCTTCCTGTAAGTACAGACCTGGCGATGTATCGGCACGTTGAGGATCTGCTCAGGCCGGCTGGAAAGACCCCAGGACTGGGTATGGAGTGCAATCTCAGTGCTGGAAAGAGAGAAAAACATGGATCATTGCTTGGAATAGAGAAATATTGCAGGAATTCACACAGCCCTCAGTACCTCAGGTCCACAAAAATGATTGGAGGGATGGAGACCTCTTGCTGTGAGGAAAAGCAGGGAGATCTGGGGTTGCTCAGCCTGGAAAAGGCTCCAAGGGAGAACTTGGAGCCCCCTCCAGTGCCTAAAGGGGCTCCAGGAGAGCTGGAGAGGAACTTTGGACAAGGGATGGAGGGACAGGAAAACGGGGAATGGCTTCCCACTGCCAGAGGGCAGGAAGAGATGGAATACTGGGAAGAATTTCTTTACTGTGAGGGTGGTGAGGCCCTGGCACAAGCTGCCCAGAGAAACCATGGATGTCCCCCATCCCTGGAAATGTCCAAGGCCAGGTTGGACAGGGCTTGGAGCAACCTGGGATAGTGGAAGGTGTCCCTGCCCCTGGCAAAGGATCAGAACTAGATGATCTTCAAGTTCCCTCCCAACTCCAACCATTCCATGATTCCATGATCTTATTTAACCCAAAGCATGGAGCTTTGGGTTAAATAAAAGAACCAGAGACCCATTGGATGAAGATGCCCTTTAGGGACTTCCCAGCTCTGGAGCAGCCCTGTCAGAGCAGGGCCAGCCCCAAACAGAGCAGGAATTTTCCCCCTCAGCACCCAAACATGCCAGAACACTCCTGTAAGCAAATCCCACGCTTCCACCATCAATCCAACAAATTTCCACGCTTGCCTTGGCGGCTGCCCACAGCCGGACAAGGAAGCCCAGCGCCCACTCCCTTACATGCACGCATGGAATTAAATCATCCTTGACTGGTGCAGGGAAGAATGAATGGGAAAGAAAGGCTGGATTTCAGTTTTCCAGGTGGGATGAGAGCGGCTCAGTCACTCACCTGCCAGCCCGGGCGTGTTGGGAAGTTGAGCGAGTGGAATTTGATTGCGCGGCACTGTGAGCTGTCACTCGGCTGCCGGCGCCGACAAAGCCCCATCTGTTCCCTCTGCACATCAAATTCCATCAACGGGGCATTTGAGCCATCACTGAGATGTTTTTTTTCCCTATTTTTTTAAAATTCCTTCTCTTCCCAAGCTGTAGGAGCATCTTTTTTAGTGCCACAATAAACATTCGTCAACATTGGGATGCTCTGAAGATGCCACTGAAGGGTCTCCATTAAGTGCAAGGTTGACTTCCCAAATGATGTGGGGGAGAAAGCCCCACATTAATAGGGGCTATTAATAAAATTAATAAATAAATTTATTAATAAATTAATAAATAAACTATTAATAGGATAGGGCTGGAGCATCCTCAGCCCTCTGGAATTCTGTATAATGTTCCTTAAAGCTACACCAGGAATCAGCTCCTGAGGGCAGCAGACAATCCTTCTAAATAATTAATATTTGGGGATAAAAGCAGATACACAGGGATGAACAAGTCTGGAATCACAAAATCATGGAATGGTTACGTCTGGAAGGCCCCTTAAAGGTCATTTTGGCCAGAAAGGAGGAATCACTGAAGAGATAAATATTGGATAAATAAAGGGGCCAACAGCCTCCTGACAGTGGGTCGGAATTTTTATGTAGCAAAAATACATCAATGGAATTATTTTTTGGGGCTTTTTTTTCCCCAGTTTTCATCTTCCAGCAAGAAGTCATACAATAAAATGATGTGCATCTCCCATTCCAGGTATTAACTCACATCCCAAAGGCAGTTTAACTCCAAGAGCTGATCCATTCCATGACAAAATCCATGTGAGATCCATCCAGGTCTGGCAAAGCACCTGGAAGCTGGCAAAGAAACGCCCCCATCCACATTTTTCCACTCCCTGATTATTCATCCTGTATGCAAATCCTCCCCAAACTATTAGAAAATAAATTTCACAAATATTTCTCCAGGATGAGCCAAGCCAAGAAAGCTCCATAATTAAACATTTCACTGTCCACTGGGATTTATGAAGAAAACTCAAGCTCTGTCATGAGGATAATTTTGGAAGCTCTTGCATTATGGAAAAGAAGTTTAAATAAAAGTAAAAGCTCTGTGTACATCCAAGTAACAAGAAGGGGGTGCAAGATTGGGCGTTGGATGTTCCTGACTTTTCAGGAGGTCCAAGGAGCCTAAATTTGGATTTTTAGAGCGGTTGTCAACTCAGAATTCCCAATTGGTTGCTACAAGAGATTTGCATTAATAAATACATAAATAAATATGTATTATGTATGCATTGGAGGGTGTATTATTGAAATTGGGGTGAAATTGGGACATCAAAAGACACTGGAAAATGGGATAAGGGTTAAATTCCAACCTCAGGAGCTGGAATTTGCTGCAGTATGGCCTAAATTAAACAAAAAGCTGAAACGATTCCCCCAGGACTTGACTTTAGGAGTCTCATTTGGTCCAGACAAAACACTGGGCACATCCCAGTCCCAGATCTGTCCTGTTTTCTCCTCAATAACTTCCCAGCCGGGGAGAACATTGGGACACAGCAGTGCTGTCGGATCAGGAGAGCAACTCCCACATCCTTGGCATTGCCCAAGTCCCTCACTATGGAAATTTAAAGAGGTGCCACGGCAAATTCCTCCCATGTGCACACTCCAAGGCAGTGGGAACGGAATGGAAAGGGGGAGAAAAAAGCAGGAAAACAAGAAAAGCTGCCACAGAGAGCATTAAGAACTGCACATTGAGGGCTTTTGAAGTGATTACAGCCGGCACAGCGGTGTCAGCCGGGATGTTTTCCACCCTGTGGAAGGGACAGGTGGATTTCTCTCCCCCTTTCCCGATGATGCAGTCACTTGGAAAAGCATCATCCGTAAGGAAACCCACAGCCCATGCAAACGGGGTTGTTTCTCTTAATGCATCATCCCAGCCCGACGCTGGCAGCTCCGGCGGCTCCGGTGGCTTGCGGTGAGAAGTGATTGTTGTTCCCAATCCAGCCGGGAGACTCCGCGCGTCTCTCCGGAGGGAGCGGGAGCTGTCATGTTCATTAAATGCATGATTACAGCTATGATTAATAGCGGGGGCTACAGCCTAACTCCTTTTTTTTCCCCTGCTCCTAGGAAGGAATCCACAGACAAGCAGTCCCCCGGTGTTTTCCGCAGCGTTTGGCTCAATGTTTGGAATTCCAGCTTTTTATGGAAGAGGAGGAAAAGGCACAATTTATCCTTTAAAACAAGCAGGTCAGATGCTGCGCCCCTTCACCAACATCCAAAAGTTAATTAGGACCTTTTCATGTCCTTAATCCCAAAACTCAGCTCAAGTGGATCCAGGTCCATCTCCGGCATCCTGGTGTTTTTTGTCCATAACCCCGAAACACAGCTCAAGGATCAAGATCCTTCTCCTCCAGGGAAAGGTTGGAAGACATTTCCCTTGGCAGTCCAGGAATTGCACTCAGGAGCAGCACTCGGTGATTTCCAGCATTTCCACATGGATATCACGATGCTCCCATCCAGTCCAACACTCCTGCTCAGCCCCCATCACCCAAGGGCTTGGGATGTAACAAACTCACCCCAAAAACAACATTCCAAATACTCCTTTGAGTTAAAAATTGGCTGCAAATAAAAACAGTTAATTATCACCTGCTGAATTATTTAGGAAGGACTTTATTGCTCCAAGGCACAGCTCAAGGATCAGGACCTCATCTCATGGAAAGGTCTTCTGGAGCATCTAATCCAATAATTTTGGGTTTTTTTTTTTAATGGTGGAAAAGCTGTGGGAAACTGATTTAGTAAAAAAAGAGAAAAAAGGGGGAATCCAGAAAAAGGAGAAATCCAGACTTGGGATGACCTGGGACCAAGGGATGATGGGCAAGAGGGTGAGAACACTGTTAGAATGATGAGTATCAAGCCCATTGCTTCCCATCTAATTCCACAATCCCAAATCAAAGATAATTTGTGAAAATCTTCCCCCAATCAGTAGAAAACTGAAATAGGCAGAAAAAAGGGAAGGAATTCAGAGCTGGGGTGTGGTAGGGCCAAGGGATGGGCAAGAGGGTGAGAACATTGTTAGAATGAGGAGTGTTGAGTATCAAGCCTGTTGTTTCCCATCTGCTTCCACCATCCCAAGTCAAGGATAATTTATGGAAATCTTACACACAGAGGGAACCAACCAGGAGTTTGCCCAAGCAATGGCAGGCAGGTGATCAGCTCCACTGGCCAACACTCCAACTTGGGGACGACCACAACAGGGTCATCCCATCTTCCTGTTACTTTTTGCTCACCAGTTCCATGGTTTTGGAGTTTTTCAGTCCCTTATCCCTGTTGAGCTCAGGCTTGTTGAGTTCAATCCTTTAGTTTTGGGATTCCTCAATCCCTTGGCCCCTTCACTCTCAATTCCATGGTTTTGGGATTGCTCAATCCTTTTATCCCTCAGGTGTCAGCATCACCACACAAACTCTCCTCAGCCTGTTCCCACACAACCTGGAAAAGACTTCCTTAAGCAACACTGGCTCCTTTAATAGTTCCCATTATCATTCCGCCTTGCCCACCGCAGCCTCCTTCGGAAAGAGCAGAGCGATTCATTTTCCGATTCTCTCCTTGGCTTTATTGCTGAACTGAAAGTTTTGAGGCTGCACTCGGGGAAATTTATTTCTTTAATTATTATTCATTTAAGTGGGTTCTGAGGATTTTGAGGATCAGCACTCGCAGCTGCTGGGGGTCATTTATTTCCCTCACTGGACAGCGCAAGTCCTCATTCCGGAGAAGACAAGGGGAAAAAGGAGGGATGAGCTGCCGCTAAACAAGCAGAGATTTTCCCATTTTTCTTCCCGACTGTCCCCACATCCCATGGATGTCCCTGAGTCAGGTGGTCATGAGTGTTTTATGAACAAAGCAACTTCAATTAATGAATCAGCTTCAATTAATGAAGCAGCTCTGGGTTGGATGTTGTATGAGCAGATGTGGGCGAGGAGCAGGATCTGAGCCCTGAAATTCCAGAGTTGAGGAATGGAAAGCAAAAGGGATTGAGCAATCCCAAAGCCAAGGCATTGAGATTGAAGGGGCCAAA